TCATCCTTGTTCGCTATTTTATGTTTGTTCCATTTTGTTTTACACATTTTCTAATTTTTATCTATTTTTTTGTATGTTCATGCGAGCAGGGCATGGTGCACAGAAGTATAAGCTTGCTTCACCAGCTTCAGAGAAAACTGTGTCATTTTTACTTTTTAATATTTTATTTCAGTGTTATATAAACACAACCAATACTTTAGTAATATTTTTAAGTGTTACAGAAATTGTAAATGAAGTCAAATTTTTGGTTGAAGAGTGTCTGATTAGTTGCATACTTTAATGATATTCAACTGTACAGAAAATAGGCCTTTATATAGGAGACTTACATGGATGAGTTCTGCTTCCACAAAGGAGACAAATTCATCTTTAAATAGAAACCAACACGGGCATTTGGGTGCCTCACTGGTTGAGTGTCTGACTTCGGCTCAGGTCATGATCTCGCGGTTTCTGAGTTCGAGCTCCACATAGGGCTCACTGCTGTCAGAGCAGAGCCCACTTCAGATCCTCTGTCTCCCTCTCTCTCTCTCTGCCCCTCCCCTTCTCATGCTCTCTCTCTCAAAAATAAATTTAAAAAACATTAAAAAAAAGAAACCAACAACAGCAAAATACAGAGACATTGCAGAGAAAGCAATATATTTACTTATTTTTAGGAGAATTAAATAGAACCAGACAGACCAATTCCATTTCTTGTATATCTGTATGTCTAATTTCAGCATATAAATCTATGTCTTAACTGACAACTCTATTAAACATAGCTTATAAATATATAAACATGCCCACATAATAAAATTTAAAGTTTTCATAGTTTACTGTTTATTTAGTAGTTTTATAACTGTAATGGGAATTTTAAATCAAATTAATATAATTTTTATTTGAAGTTAAAACATCATTATGAAGAAACTTTAACAAGATTTAAGAAACTTATACTTGTTTAAGATCATACAGAATATAGAGTTACAAAGAAATACTTATTTTGGCCAAATGTGTTCTATGTGGATAATTCCAGTCTTATAAATCTGCTTTTCATCCCAGATAAAAAGACTTCCTGAACAACAAAATAAATAATAATAACATTGAATTACAACCCAAATAAAAAGGTAAATATCCATGAGACTATACATAAAGAAATGACTACATAATAAGTAAATAGAGGAGAAATGACAAGATTTCCTTATAGGAGAATTTCAATTAATTAGTGTAAAAGGAATCAGGGAAATAGAAAATTACCATCCAAATGCCACAGTGTTAATTGCCATAGGAAATATCCAGCAATGGATACAAAAATTAATGGGCAAAAGTTTAAGCAGAAACATGATATTTGTATAGTTTCAAAGCGTCTCTCTCCAAGTATTTATTAATTACAAAGAGAGAAATAGTAACTTTACAGTGGAGAAACTTGACAGATATTATATTAAGCAAGTGTTGGAGATTAACATCACCTTAACACTACTGAACTGTACACTTAAAAATCTTTAACATGGTAAATTTTGTGTTATTTTTAACAATTGTTTTAAAAGATTAATGTCACCAGTCGATAGGACACATTGACATCATGTACCCCCTGATAATGATGTACTGAGAAGGATACAATATCATTTCTGCAGCATTCTTCCCAATAATGCATAGCATCAATAATCTATGGGGTGCCTGGGTGGCTTAGTTGGTTGAGTGTCCGACTTTGGCTCAGGTCATGATCTCATGATCTCATGGTTCATGGGTTCAAGCCCTGCATCGGGCTCTGCGCTGACAGCTCAGAGTCTGGAGCCTGCTTCGGATTCTGTGTCTCCTTTTCTGTCTGCCCCTCCCCCACTCACACTCTGTCTCTCTCTCAAAAATAAATAATAAACATTAAAAAAATTAAAAGGAAAATAATCTACAGAAGCCAAAGACAATCTCAAATTGAGGGACATGTTTGTTAACTAAACTTATTATGGTAATCATTTCACAATACATGTAAATCAAGTCATTATCCTGTATGCCTTGAACATATACAGTACTATATGTCAATTATATCTCAATAAAACTGAAAAAAGTTGAGGAACATTTTTACAAATAACTGACTAGTACTCTTCAAAAGTCTTGAGGTCATGAAAGACAAGGACAGGTTAAGAAACTATCATGGATGGTAGAAACTAAGGAGACATAATTAAATGTGTTGTAGGATTTTGCACTGGATCCTTGAAAAGAAAAAGGACACTAAGGAAAAAAGTGGCGAAACCTAAGTAAAGTCTGTAGTTTAGTTAATAGAATTGTACCAAGGTTAATTTCTTAATTTTGATAACTGGCAACGGTTATGTAAGATGTTAACATTAAGGGAAGCTAGGTGAAGGGAACTTTATACTACTCATGTGGTTTTGTAAGTCTAAAATTATCTCATAACAAAAAGTTTCTAAAGGGCTTAAATTCCTTATAACTTAAAACTTCCAGTATAAATGTAAGTCTATATATATTTCAAAGTTAAATAGGTTATTGAAGCAATTTGCCCAAATTAGATATTTTTAATTGAATATTTATCATGGCCTTTTTATACAAGAGCACTTTAAAGCACTTGAATTAGGTCTTTGACTAAATACATAGTTATAACGTCACTTGACATTTGAGGGAAGGTAACTGTCCTAATTATTTCCATTCTTTATTTTAATTTGCGGATGGAAATCTGACTTAATCTCAGCTGGTATATAGAGTGCTCTCCAAATTCAAATGGCTCACATCACATTCAGCAAATTGATACAGAGATGTTTTTAGTTTTTAATCATCAAGTACAATTGGAATTTTCTTAGAAACTTGAAGTCTGAATAAAAATGACAGATCATCAATTAACACAGTGGCTGTCAATCTGAAGTCAATGGCAAAAGTTTTACTGGTCTAAGGCAAAAATGAGCCCAATAATGGCATAATACGTTTTTCATAAAATGACATTTTTAGTTTAGAGGACAGTTTCCTTTATTGGATCACTGTATTATCATTTTTACATTAAAATGCCATTTCCTTTGTGAAATAATGTTACAAATTAATAGTGTTTGTTTTGTTTTAATTATTTTTCCATACATGGAAAAAGAAAAAGTTGACAAATCTATATTTTCCATCCATTTTGTGTATTTGTGTATGTGAACTTTACTATTTGAAATTCAAAGTCTTAGGGGCACCTGGTTGGCTCAGTCAGTTAAGCGTGGACTCTGGATTTCAACTCAGGTCATGATCTCACAGTTCATGAGTTCGAGCCCCGCATTAGGCATTGTGCTAATGGTGGGGAGCCTACTTGAGATTCTCTCTCTCTCCCTTTCTCTCTGCCCGCTCTCTCAAAATAAATAAACTTAAAAAAAATGAAATTCAAAGTCTTAAAATCACCATTCTATACAATTTTCTTTCCTTATTCTTACCATCAAGCCAGAGTCTTGCCATTGATTATGGTCACATCATGAAATGTAATCAAATACAGTTAATCCATGACAATTATTTAATCAAATGCAGTTAACCCAGAGGCTTTTAGTTAATAATGTTTTAACTAATTACTATTTACCCAAAAAAGAATTCTATCTTCTTTCTCACTTAAGGCCTCTGATTTCAGCATACCTTAACAATCCTAACCTAAATATACTGAAACACTATTCCATGTTTTGTTCAAGAAAGACCTTTACTCCAAATGAGCAGATTATAACATGATTTATGGAAAACAGTTAATATTAATAAAAAAGACAATTCATTGGTATTCCACATTTGATTTATCCATTCTCAAAATATTAAGGAAAATACTGAAGGCAGACATAGGTTATACCAGTTCTGCCCTAAGCATTTCTAACATTTTAAAAATACCTTATCACTAAATTTTAGTATATCTTGGTCACCAGGTAGACAGCCAGATAGTACCATTCGGAGTCAGTCATGATTCTATGAATGAAGCTTATATCAATGAATATGATTTAAGAAGTATTTTAAGAGATACTTCTGTACCCTAAGAAATCCAGGTACAAATATTGTGCTCTCCTGTACAGGACATATCCTCATGGGTCTGAGTTTACACACATTTAAATAAAATAAGGCACATGATTAAAGTGTCATTAAAGCAAACTTTAAAAAAAACTTTTAAGGCAAGTTAGTATGGTTAGCATCATTGAAATATGTTAACATTTTAATATTGGTTTTTTTATTTTAGAATGAGAGAAATTAAAATAGCTTATGAAGGCAAAACCATGATAATCCAAAAAAAAGCCTAACTTCTTTCATGATTCCATTTCATTTTATGAATGATTTGCTAGGAAGTACCTTTCTTCTGTTTCCATGACATCACTTCAGAATCCTCAGAAGCGAAAATGGCCTAAAATCCAATCTGGTAATATCTGAAAATGTATCTTTTCTTAAGGCCACTTAATTGGTATTATCACTTTTTCCTTTAATATCTTTTATTTTGATAGCATTTGTTAACGACAATAAGCCTTACTGATTTTTTTCCCCTCATCTACCTTTTATTCTCCACATTCAAATAACTGTTCTCTGATAAGTAAGGGATAGACACCTGTATACAAAGAGAGGTTTCGGCTTGCCTAAGGCCTAAACGACCATTAAGAAATCCCATCTAACTTAATTTTGGAGAACATTCCTGAACTGAATCTCTTTAGTCTTTCTACCCTTACTCACATTCTCAAATAAGTCAATTCTTTTTTTTTCTTTACCTTTCCTTTTACCTGATTATCTATGAGGACCATTCACCAGGCATTTGGGTCCTTATGATTCAAAGATGATCTCCACTTACTAAGGAATAAAAATCTAGAAATTTCTGAGTAATGATAAGCTATATATCTGTTTCTCAAACCTAACTGCTTCCTGATGTATCAAAACTAGAAGCTAGTTTTCTTCCCCATGCATACATAACTGTCCACTAGAAAACAATTTAAAGGCAAAATAACAGGATATCTCTGTGGAACTAAGCATTTCCAGGTCCAGAACTAATGAACTTCCAGAGGACACATGAATAATGATTACTTATAGCTCATGAGCAAGAACTACATATAGTCATCAGGTACTTGGCCATGGCCCTCTGACCCCCGAGACCTATTCCTACCAGAATCTGGGGGTAAGCTGGAGCCAGCCTCTGTTTTTGCCTCTCCAGTGCCATGTGGGAAGGGGAAGTTGGGCATAAAGCGCTTAAGGAACCGAAACTCACTATTGCCAGTGCCAGTGGCCGAGCACATTTCATAGGGACATGGCTGAGATAAAGATCCATTGGCTCCTTCTTGTACCAAGTTGTTAGGGAAATTACAGTCATCATAGAAATGCTCTTGAACTGTGCACTTTTCTCTATATTTAACCTTCTGGTAGATGTGTATAACAAAGATCACTGTGACAGAGAGGAGAAAGAGAAAGGAAAGCACAGCCAGAGAAATGACCAAATATTTAGTGGATGGATTTACCCTTGTAGGATGCTTGGATGGATCCCGAAACTGTAGATAGGGCTCAGAAAACCCATCTACCAGCAAAATGTTGAGTGAGGCAGTAGTGGAAAGAGCTGGTTGGCCATGATCCTGAACAAGAATTGTAAGTTTCTGAACCACGGGGTCTCTTTCAGCTATCTGCCGCAGTGTACGGATTTCCCCATTTTGTTGTTGAACAGAGAATAACCCAGTGTCAGTGGCCTTAAGGAGATGATATGAAAGCCAAGAATTCTGACCTGAGTCACCGTCCACAGCCACTACCTTGGTCACCAGGTAGCCTGTCTCTGCAGACCTGGGCACTAGGTCATTGCAGGGCAAGGTGCCATTCTGCAGTGGGTACAAGATCATTGGGCGGTTGTCATTGTCATCCAGAACAACCACTCTGACAGTAACCTGGCTACTCAGTGACAGGAAGCCCCCATCAGTTGCCTTTACCACAAACTGAAATTTTTGAATGGCCTCATAATCCATGGTTCTCAGTGCATAGAGCTTCCCATTGTCTGAATTTATGGAGATGTAAGCAAAGACTGATAAATCTCCACTTTCTGGAGGAAGCAGAGTATATGTTACTTGGGCATTCTCACCCAAATCTAGATCCTCAGCATGAACTTTGCCAATAAAAATTGCAGGGCTGTTGTTTTCTCGAACAGTCAAAATGTATGAGTCTTCCTGAAATATTGGGGGATTGTCATTAATGTCAGATATTAGCACCTCAATCACAGTTTCTGTGAACAGACTGGGTGGCCCAGTATCCATGGCAACAACTGTGATATTGTAGCCTGAGACCTCTTCCCGATCCAAGACTCTGTCAGTAACCAGAGAGTAAGAATTCCGGAAAGTAGGTTTGACTGCAAAGGGAAGGTCTTCTCTGAGGAAGCAGATGATTTTTCCTCCCACTCGAATGTCCCGGTCTCGGATAGAGAAAAGGGCCACTACAGTCTCTAATGGGGAGTCCTCAGGGAGAGGGCTGGACACAGAGGAGATTGTCACTTCAGGAGGATTGTCATTAACATCCACCACTTCCACCAGGACTTTGCTGTGGGCAGAGAGGCCCCCTCCATCGGTGGCTTGAATGTCAATATCATATGTTTCAATTGCTTCAAAATCTAGGGGCCCTCTTAGTCGAACATCCCCAGTCTGCGAATCAATCTGAAACGTCTGGAGAATTGCTTCTGGGTTTTGAGATAAGGAATAAGTTATATCCTTGTTGGAGCCCTCATCCAGGTCTGTGGCACTCACAGTGACCACCAAAGAACCATTGGCACTATTTTCTAGTACCTGAGCACGGTACACCAATCTGGAGAACTGAGGCACGTGGTCATTGACGTCCAGAACGACCACACGGATGTGAGCGATGCCAGATTTGGGAGGGGACCCGCCATCCACCGCTGTAATTGTCAAGTTGACTTCAGGCTGCTCCTCTCTGTCCAGGGGCTTATCCAGCACCAGCTCAGCGTATTTGGGCCCATGGCTGCGAAAGCGGGTATGCAGGTGGAAATACTTGTTGGGGCTTAAGGTGTAGTTTTGGAGACCATTGAGGCCCACGTCCAGATCCTGGGCACTCTGCAGAGGAAAACGTGAACCCAAGGGGGTACTCTCCGGAATCTTTAAAAGCGGCTCCTTGTTTAGGAAAATCGGGGCATTGTCATTGATATCAAATACCCTGACCTCGACACGAAAGGACTGCAGTGGCTCCACCAAGACTATTTCAAAATGCAGAACACACGGGTCAGCTTTGCCACAGAGTGACTCCCTATCCAGTTTCTCCTTCACGAACAGATCCCCTGTCTTGCGGTGGAGCCGGAAGTGCACTTTGTTGCCCTCGGAAACCAGCCGCGCCCCGCGCGCAGCCAGCTTCCCTACCTCCAGCCCCAGGTCCTTAGCCACATTAGCCACAAACGAACCGCTCTCCATCTCTTCTGCCACGGAGTAGCGGATGGTTGCTGCACTTCCCACAGATATGCACACAAAAAAGAGAAGAGACCCTACTTGCCTGTTCTGCATGAGCTTTCTGTGCGCAACCGCCATCCGGTCTCGCAAGCGCACTCTCTGCAGCAGCCGCCACCTGTTGCGGGTATACTTCACTTTTCTGCCCACAGATTCTTGGAACTGCTGCTCTCGGCTTTGCTCCTCTGTAACCGCAGCACCGGGCTAGCAAAGCCCGGTAAGCTGTTTTGCACTTGGAAGAAAATTTGCATTGAGCAACTCAACTCCCCAGTCTATCCAGTGTATTAATAGATATGTTCTCATTCTGGAGAGTTAGGCAGAGAATGAAAGTTGTTGCCAAAGCAACGCAGAGTCTTTAATTCCCTTTCAGAAAAAAAGTCCTTGGGAATTAAGAAGCCAATGAGGATAGTCACTTAAGCTGAAGTCACCAATCTGGGAGCCGGCTGGGGCTGCTGCAGCAACCGGCAAACAGCCAGGAGTAAGCAAGCTACCTTGCTTGTCCAGAGATCAAGGGAGAGTCAAAAAGGCAGCTCTTTTTGCCCACGGGTCCTGTCCCTGTGTTTTAATAAAATCACCTATTTTGTACCAAAAAAGGTGGGGGGGGGGGGGGGGGTGGGGAGTAAAAAAGATCCTGCAGTGTCTTTTGGAGCCAGATGGAAGTCAGGCAGGGGCAGGGGTTTGGAGAAAGTGGTCAGCAGGAAAAAGAAAGGGGACAGACAGAGGTTTTTCTTTCAGGAACCTGGTGTCCAGTAGGTACACTGATAGGAGAACTGGCCAACTAGGCTCTTGATATGCACAAATCCATTCCTTTCCTAGAACCCTCACCCTCAAGAAGCAGTTGGCTTGGCACTTAGGATTATAATGATAGTAATATTTACTGGGTATGGTTTCTATATAGCACTGGGACTGTGTTAAATGGTTTACATGCATTATTTAATCCTTGCAACAGCTGTATTAAGTACACATTATTTCTTTAACATTTTTTAATGTTTATTTTTGAGAGAGAGAGAGAGAGAGAAACTGTGAGTGAAAGAGAAGAGACATAGAATCCAAAGCAGGCTCCAGGCTCTGTGCTGTGGGAACAGAGGCCAACACGCGGCTCGAACCCACAAAATGCGAGATCATGACCTGAACCCAAGTCCGTGTGCTTAACCGACTGAGCCACCCAGGTGCCCCTCTTTTTTTTTTTTAAAGACAAAGAAACAGACTGGAGAAGTTATGTCACTCTTCCAAGACCCCCTGCCTCATAAGGATTAGAGAAAGAATTCAGTTTAATTTTGTCTGACTCCAGAGTCTCTGCTCTTAATCAGTATATTACGGTGTTTCCCAATAACACAATGGATAAATGAAATGAAAATGTTTGGCTTTGGATTTGAAAGGAAATGAAATAACAGACTACTTAAATATATTGAAAATGACCTGATAGAAATTTGGGGGATACTTGTTCAGAGTTTCTTTTACAATCATTAGATCATAGAATGTTTAAGAATGATGAACCAACTCAAAAAAGATAGGGTCCAATACTCCCCTCGATTTTTTTAAAGATTAAGAAACTAAGGCCCAAATGATGAAATTACTTGCCCAGTTCATACAGCTACTCCTGGCAGTAGGAACTAGAACCTGTCTTTTGACACTCTCATCTCATGTCCATCAAAAGCATTTGGTGAGTCCCCATTTGTGCTCAGCATTTTCTATGCTAGGTGCTATAGAAAGAGTCACTGCCACTTATGAGAAATCTAAACCATATTTTCCAAATGAGAAAAAAAATGACTGAAAAGTGTATATAATGTTATTGACATCCTGACATGAAGGAGTTAATGGATCCCCCAATCTCCATTACCTAAATTAATCTCTAGCTTAAGTGTGCAGCCCTAAACAGTTTAATTTTGCCTCTTTAAAAAACTGTATATAGGGGTGCCTGGGTCACTTAGTTAAGCTTCCGACTTCAGCTCAGGTCATGATCTCACGGTTCGTGGGTTTGAGCCCCGCATCAGGCTCTATGCTGACAGCTCAGAGCCTGGAGCCTGCTTCTGATTCTGTGTCTCCCTCTCTCTCTGCCCCTCCCCTGCTCACACTGTCTCTCTCTGTCTCTCAAAAATAAATAAATGTAAAAAAAAACTGTGTATAAAAGTACATACAATAAAATC